ACACTTACAACCTTTGAAAAACCCCGAAAAGTCGCAAGTGGGATTGTGAAAAAGTTGTGGGGGGTCCATGTGGTCAATGGAGTGGTTCTCCTGCCTGACCATGAGAACCCAACTGTCTTCAATGCCTATACGTGGTTCCCCTACAGTGATGGTAACTGTGGTACCAACTTCAGTCAAATTAAATTAATCGACTCTTGTTCTTTTGGTCGGAGTACCAAAGTCAATTGGTACCCCCCTAAAATCCCCAACCGGTTCAATCAATGTACCATCAGAGTACGCATGGTCCAATGGCCACCATTTGTTATAAACATACCAAATGGTTCCCGGAGTGGTCCCCCACGTGGTTCCCGTGGTATTGAAATCAGTCTCCTTGACTTGGTCGCCGAATTTGCAAACGTCCGCATGTTGTACCACCATGACCAAGTACCAGATAATTGGGGCAATGTTTATGATAATGGTACCATCACTGGAAATTTAAAGTATTTGTACCAAGAAATCGACGATATTGCTATTGGTGCTTATGCTAAAAACATGAAACGATCCCTTTTTTTTGACGATGTTTTGTACCACCACTACGAGAAGTTAATTTTTTGTGTTCCATTTAAGACACTTAACTCGAAATTGGAAAGTTTGGCCGGGATTATGGGTTTTGGAGCGTTGGTATTGACCTTTGTTTTTTACCTTATGGTTACCATAATGTCATGGTTGGTGAGTCGTCATGATTACACCCATTATCAAAAAATTGACACGTGTGCCGTTGAAACGTACCAGATTTTACTAGGTTTGTCGGTTAGTTTGCAACCTAGAAGTACCAAAGTTAGGTTTTTCATCGCCATGTTGATTATTTATAGTTTCTATGTGGTTACAGCCTATCAGACGTTACTAGTCAGTGCATTGGCTAATAGTAGTACCAAACAGGAAATCAGTACCATTGACGAAATCCTAGCCCGTGGTTTGGATATTTATGGACTTAAAACAAACACGAGGTACTTTAATAGTGATGGTACTAGTAGTACCACAAGTCGTACCAACGCCGCCATCTTGAAAAACTGGAAAAATTGTCAAAATATGCACAAATGTCTCGATTTAGTGGCATTTAACCGAAATGTTGCCACTTGTACCCCAAAACTTTTCACCGAATTCATTTTAAACAGTAACAAGACCTCAAAAAATGACCCCCTGATTTATTGTTTCGATAATATTATAGTAACATTTCCTCTTACTATCATGACAAGAAAAGGATTGCAATTTTATCACAGAATTAAGACTTTAGTCAACCGAATTCTTGAATCTGGGATTATACAAAAGTGGGAAAGGGATATTTTAAAAACACGATTTACTGGGGTACTCGAAGAGGGGGAAACTAGCAATGAACTTGATTTTGACAGTTTAAAATTGATTTTTTATATCTGGGGGATTGGGTGTTTTTCTGCTTTGATTGCATTTTTTTGTGAAATTGTTTATTGTAGATGGGTTGCAAAACTTGACTCTTGTTTCAAAAAAAATAAAAAACATTAAACTACAAACTGTTTTATTTGTTTTTTACCATATAAACACCTTTAACAAAAAATGTTTTTGGGGGTTTTCTATACGTTGTTTTTTTTTAAATTTTAAAACAAAAAATTTATTTTTACTAAATTTTTTACGGTTTTAGAATTAATGCTTTAACAAAATACGGGTTTTTGTTTTTTTCACAATTATTACACGGTTTGAAGAAAAAAAAAATTGCGTGCTACTAATTACAGCAAATTCATAACAAAATATTGGTAATATATTTATTTTTTTAATTTAGTTGAGTAGTAAAAGTGATAGTTGCTTAGAATTTCTAATTTTTTAATCAAAAAAATCTTATACATTATGCACAACATCAAATAAATCTAATTTTATTTCTTTTTAATTATTGAAATTGACATTTGATTGTCACACACCACTCTTTAACAATGCCTTCAACGATCATAATCTTCT